ATTAAAAACAGCTCCTGCACAGCCCTGCTAAAAGCACATTTAAGATCAAGACTCAAGATATGCCTTAGGCGAGGACTAAGGCCTGTAAAAATACACAGGGGCCAGGATTCAGGACACAGGGCCACTTGTCAAAGGGAACACCAACCAAGTGCTGAACAGGATACGGGCCCAGAGAGGAACTTAAGCTAGCACTCAGGCTCCAAGAGATAAAAGACTCAAGGAGAAACTAAGACACACTTGACAAGATGGGAATCACTGGAAGACTCCTCAAGTGCCCAGGTGAACACCAAAGCTTTTGAGCAGCTCCAAAGAAAAATGGTTTTCAAGGAAGGGCAAGTGGGAATATCCTTCAAGGCGCAGCTTCCTGGAGCTAGATAAGGACAGGAGAAGGAAGACAGCACATGAAAAGATGAAGAACTGAGGGCAGGAGAAATAATCTGGATTCATGGACAATAATTGCGAGAGATGTGTGCGGTGTCTGTCTGTCTTAGTGAATCAGGCTATAATCTGGGATAGCCAAGCATAAATGGAAGTTCTCCAGGACTGAGCTTTGGACCTGGAAACACCATGGATCCTCTGGAATCTCCCCATGCTATTACCCAACTCCTAATACTTCCTCATCGCTGCCCTTCTCCCTTGTCTTCTTTCCTCCCGGACCAACCATTTTTCCAGGCTGAGAGAGGGCAGCTTAATTTATGTTGCTAAGCAACTACCAATGACAAATGGTTAGATCAGCTGCTTGACAGTTCTTGACCACTATGGGGTGTGTGTCTACAGTAAATATCCTGCTTTCTAATGTGATGGCCCTGTGGATGTGTGGATGTTGCTGCACTCAATACAAGCAAGATGACCTCCTCAAAATATTATGACCCGGGGCACGGCCTGGAACACGGCAATAAGAAACAGCAACATGGGCAGCAGGATAAATTCTAGGGAAGAGACATTGTGCCTATCACTGTCACTACAGCTTCTTAGTGAAGGACCTTCTGGACTGACTCCTCCCAGGGTGGCCATTGGTTCCTCCTGGACAGGAAAGAGTGTAAGAGAGCTTCCTGTTTCGGTGCAACTTTGCTCTGGTGTGTTATGAATTTCTGGCCTTCAGTCCTGCTTTCTGGTTTGCCCTCTCTCATCCCAATTGCTCTTCAGTCTGGACTCCCAGTTCCTGACTCGCTCCAAATGTCTGCCCACGGCCCAGCCCTAGACATGACTACTCCATGTCTAGTCATGTCACAAACTGTGACACTTACCTGGCAAGCGAGGGGAACATATTTCTAGCATTGCAGGCATTGTAAATGATGCTGTAGGATGATAAGGATAGACTGAATGGAACGATTTTACAAAAAACCCCAAAATGACTTGGCAGTGAAATGCCAAATGAAATTCAGTGCAATGAGTGCAAAGTAATGCTCACTGGAAACGACTATTTAATGTAAGCATAGAATATCGAGCTCTAAATCACCACTCAGAAAACAGATTTTGGAGTCATTTTTCATTGCTGAAATAAACAATGCACCACTGTAGCTATGAAGGTAAGCCAAGAGGTTAGAAACTATTAGGAGAAAAGAAAGGGGATGGGGAGAGAACAACACAAGAAAAAGCTAACAATGCCCATATCAAAAATCATTGCTGCTGTGTGCACAACTTGATTCCATGAGCTGTTCTATTATATCACACACAAAAAGAAGGCAGAATAGAGCTGGAGGGGAGCAAACTGTTGAGAACAGGGAACAAAAAATATCAATGCCAAGGATAATTTCCATTATGAGGAAATCCCTTAAAGTCTTAACAGTACTTCTCCTTTGAGGGATGGCATCACGGATGAAAGTAAGCCTATGTAACATCCACAAGGAAAGGGCAGGAAAAGTGAATGAGGAACTTGAATTTTTGTCTGGTCTCTATGATGGTATTTTGCACAGATGGAGATCCATCCCATCATTAGATTTCCCAAGAAAACAAGTAGGGAGCAACTCAATGAAATCAGCCACTACCAGCTTTCATGAAAAATTGTTTTTATGTAGTGCACTGTTAATCTATAAAACTCTTGTTCACAGGATTTGTGGAGGCTTTTAGAATAACAGATGAAACAGATGAAAAATAAAAATAAAGGACTCCCAAAGTGCCAAGGTGATCGTCAAAGCCTTAGAGTATCTCCAAAGATAAAAGTTCCAGAGTAGGAATATCATTCAAGGGCTAGATAAGATCCAGACAGGAGAAGCAGAACAAGTGCATGACAAGAAGATTGTTGGCTGCTACCATGACAGTAAGAGTATACAAACTCCCCACTCCCTTAAACCTCAAGCTCTTTCCTGCATTCCGTCTAGTCTCTGTCAGTCACAGGACACTGGATTGAATTAATCATTGGTCTTACTCAATGTGGAATTCTTAACTGATGGATTTTGTAGGAAACAGCCACTGTGAGGAAGGCTAAGTCAAGATGCTGATAGTGCAGTAAATACCATTGGATAATGGTACCAACCCACAGGTTAGCAAGAAGAGTCATCACAAGCTAGCCAAAATCAGTAAGTCATGGCTCAGTTATTTTCTAACCAGAGGCTACTAAGGCATAGTTTAGGGCTGGGGTTGTTGGGAGTTGTGGTCTAAAATATCTGGAGGGCACCAGGTTGGTGAAGGCTGTTTTAGAGTCAATGGTCAGCACTCACCTAATCCCAATGTATTTATCACCCTTCCTATGCTTTTAAAACATCTTTGCTAATGCTGTTACAAAATTATTTCAAGTAAGAATAATTTGTTTTTTCTTACATGCTCTTAATTTTGGACACAGTATGAGTGAACACCAACAAGTACATTTAATGGCTTTCTTCCCACCTTCCCTTATCTCTGTGAATGAGAAATACTCTGCTCGAGAATTGACTAATTACATATCAGATTGACCATAACAGTGTCTCTTCTCTTGTGCTCGAAACTATTCTTGGGCTGTATCTCCTGGGAGGGAGGGAAAGTCTGAGATGAGATAAATTCATGGAGGGCAGGGCCCATCAACAGCTCCTAGCCATGATGGCTATTGCTCTACCTCCACTCTCAGATGCAGCATGCTTTTGAGTACCAGCTGCTGAGAATCGCAGGTGGGCAGAGAAGCTTGTAGGTTTTCCACAGGCTTCTGGTTGGCCACTGTGAGAACAAGATGCTAGGCTAGAGGAGCCACTGGCCTGATCCGGCAGGCGCCTCTTATGTTCTTTCAAGTGTTTCAACTCAGCTGCCCTCCTTCCTTGTTCAATACTGTCAACCATCACAGCCTCCTTACTGTCAGGGAAGTGGTTCAATTTGAACTGTCAGCTTACAGCAGCAATACAGACAACAATGAAGACAGAAACAAGTGATATCTCCTTTCCTTTATGAGAGAATTTGGTGGGGGTGGTATTTCAGCCCCATTTTCTCCACTACAGTTTCCATTTCTCAGCCACTGATCTCTACCCAAGTCCATAAAATTATTTGGATACCAGCATAACAAAAAGATGCGGGATCCTGCATCTAAAGCCAACTACACTGAATTTCATTGGTAAAATTGAATTATTCAATTGCTGGGACTTGGCCAGGCCAAAGGACGTAGCTCTCCTTTGAGAATGTTTTGAAGTGATTAGGAGTAGCTCCTTTAATTGACAGAAGTTTTTGGATCAAGCTGTATGTTATTTGTTCATTGCAGTTGGCACTGTTAAGAGGGGAAGGTCTAGGGAGCCGAGACTTGTGAGAGGGTAAGCGAGAAAGTGGGCAGGAAAACACAGCCAGGCTGCCAGCTAGGGAATTGGGGGGGGGGGGGAGAGAGAGACTATATTGTGATTTAACTCTCAATCAGGTAAGGGAACAAAGAAGGGAGAATATAAAATTAAATGTTCAGCTAGGGAAAATTCAGCACAGATTAACAGTTAACATAGATTTACACTCTGTGAAGATCTGGACCCAGCAACACCCAAAACAGTCATTTCTCGAGAACACAGATTATTAAGTCTATGAAATGAGAAGGATTTGGTTTATCTTACAAGGCAAGTCACTTGTTCTAAGAAATGTGAAGGATCTACTTTATGTTACAAGGTGAGCCATTCATTGTTTCTAAAACAGAGATGAGGATTCATTGTTTCTAAAGCCATTCATTGTTTCTAAAGCAGAGATGAGGAATCTGTGGCCCAGCTCCCACCATCCCTGATTTTTTGGCTGTGTTGTGGATAATGGGAGTTGGGAGCCCAACAACATCCAAAAGGCCACAGGTTCCCTGTTCTAAAGCAATGGCCCACATGGTGGGAAGATTATATCCCACTTGGGAAGGTGCCCAGTTTGCAGCTCTAGGGCAACACAGATTTGGCATTCCCCTACCTCGACACAGCTGGCCTCCTGTTCCAGTGGAATTCAGAGGAATCTTACACAATGGTGCAGAGGGGCAAGAAAAGCAGGTGGACAGACTGCTGTGACAACCAGATAGGAGTGGTGAACCTGCTGAATGGCTTCATGCCTTGAAGCATCTATTGTCATTATTAGCAGTAGCATAGAATAATAGAATTCATGGAATCAGAGTTGGAAGGGTCCCACGGGCCATCTAGTCCAATCCACTGTAATGCAGGAATCACTACTAAAGAATCCCTGACAGATTCCCTGTAGTAATAGCATTTACAGGCAACTCCTGGTTTAGGTTTGTAAGAATGATGTGCGATTGCACATGCATGCAGAGTGCCGTACTCAGAAGTAGCCCCCAAACGTCATAAAGACATCATGAAAGGGGGTGGAACGGGGCAGAGTAGGGCATGAATATTGCCTGTATCAGACTTCTTAGTTATTTGTTATGCAAAAGGTCTCAAAGCAACTAACAACACATTTTGAAACCTAAACATAGATTCATTATACACACACACTACCAACCATTCATTAAAATATATACTACCTCTCCCCACAACACCCCTCCCTCCCCAAAGGTCTGCCATTTTCCCACAGGGTCTCCCTCATGCAGCCCTGGGAGCCAAGCTACATAAACAGAGAAAGTGCAGGTTACTTACTTTCATTATCGCCACCAGGAGGGTGATAGAAAGACAAGCCCAGGGAGATTATGGCTGCAATTTCCAAGATGATTAACGTGACATCCTGAAGTGCTTCCCAGACTAACTGCAGGAAAGTTTTGGCCTTTTTGGGTGGGATGAAGTTCTGGCCAAATGCTTGCCTTCTTTTTTCCAGATCCGCGGGGTTCCCAGAGAGGCCTGCGAGAAAGAGGGTGTGTGGAAGAGAGAGCAAATTAAAAGGGAGTGTCAAAAAGCATGATTACTTTGAACCCACTCTTTATGCCCACTTTCCTTCATCTTCCACAGGTTCCATTATGTATATTACAAAGTACTTCCCACCCTGCGAACAGTAGAGCACTCCTCACTATCCTCCATCCAGACTGTGTAACACTACTTTATTTAACAAAATTAACACATCACTTGGCTTAATAAAACCTCTAAGCTGCTTACAAGAAATATAAACCTTATCAGCAAAGAACAGTTAAAAACAAGTACTGAAAAATATTTAAGAGATAATTAAAATTAACAGTAAAAGATAAACACATGTGAACAGCTATATATCGGGATAGGCTTGCCTAAACAAAAATGTTTTGAGCAGGTGCAGAAAAGAGTACAGTGAAGGCATCTGGCTGATGTCAACAGGCAGGGAGTTCCGAAGTGCTGCCACCCTAGAAGACTGATTTCTAACAGCTGCAAAGTTCAAGGACACATTCCAGCCAGGCAAAAACTTTCAGGGTGCAAAGCAAGGCCAATCAGGGGTCTGGCCTAGGCAGAATTCTGAGGGTCATACGAAGGCCCCAGACATTTCAGCTCCCCACCCCTGCTCAAGACATGTTACAGTCTTGGAGAACTTTGGCATCCCAAGAATAGAATACTTTGTATTTATTATCACGCAGGCATGGAATCAAATATTTTCTGTGAAAATCCAGAGTACCTCCACACACATCCCCTCATCTGCTCACTTTAACTGACAGTGTACTTAACACACCCACCCACATTGAAAAAGAAAAAAGACAACTGCACAGATTGGTAGTGATTGCTATACCTGTCTTTTGGGTGTCTTTCTTACAGCTGTTTAAAACCACATCCTGCTCCACAGGAGTTCAGGAGAGGGAGAGGAAGATCTACATTTTTTTTTAAGAAAACTTTGTGCAGAATAAATTAGGAATAGGAGGATTAGTAATTAGGCAAGGCCAAAAATTCAAATTACTCTGCATAAGTTAATCACATAATTGGGATTTTTGAAATGTTAAGTGTACAGAATCCCATTTTAAATGCAAGACAACCAGGGTCCACTTCCCAGATAACAATGTGCATTCGGCTGATCAAAGCAGCAACATAGGAAGGGGCTTAGCTATTGTCTTGCTTGTGGCAAGTATCCAAAAGATGTTGACCACACAGGTCAACAACCCATCCATCCGGCATTAGGATTTTCATCAAAGAAGTTATTTTCACATGCATTCTAGGAACAGAAATGTCTGCAAAATAAGAAGAGGCCTTGAAACCCATTCCCACCAATCAGATGGTACTATTTTGCCCAAGCTCTTGCTGCTCCTCAGAAACAAAGGAGGAAAGCCAGTTGAGGCTGCATGGCAGCTCTCACTTGAAGAGAGCAAGGTGTCAAGGATGCCGGTGTTCCCACCACCCACAGATTTTCCTGAAGCCCAGATAGTGGGGCGTGAAATACCAAACAGGAGCAGAAGGAGCCCTGTGATCTTGCATGACTAGCTTTGCTCAAATATCAGGTCGGAGGGTTCACTCTGCAATCTACCAGGGTGATCTGGGGAAAGGTGGGAAGCCAGCAAGTGAGCTGAACTCATTTCACTGTTGCCAATTCCAAGGCAGGCTCTTGGGTGTGTGTGTGTGGGGGGGGGAGACATTCTTGGCACACAATAGAAGAAAGAGGGATTCAAGTAGGAATGGGAAGACTCTTATCTCTTCTCCACTTCAAGTCTATGACCATGTTGGTCAAACACCCCATCTTATGAATTCTTAAAGAGTCTAGCTCCTGCTACCTTTTACATGGACCAGCTAATTAGAAATTAAACCTGAGCTGACTATGCATTGACCAGTCTCTCTGCTGCAGGGCTGTCTTAAGCATATGCAGCGCTGGGGTGCAAAGATCTGCCCAGTGCCCCCCCAGTTGCCCAGTCCCAGGCGCGCAGGAGGGCAGAGCCAGCTGGCCACCTCAGCGTCTCACTGGCTCGGTTGCCCTCGAACTCGTGGCACAGAGCCACCCACAGCAGAAGAGCCCACCACGGTGCTCCGACAGATGGGCAGGCTCTTCCCCGAACTCAACTCTTGGACCCCGGACTATTGGCCTGGTGCCCCTGAGAGCCCAGCGCCCGGGTTTCCCACACCCCTAGCACCTATGGGTAAGACGGCCCTGCTCTGCTGCAACTGGGGACAGGAGCAGCAGTGTTTTCTGCTGGAGGACTGGGTTTCCTGAATTAACTGGGTGGGTGGGATGGAATAGCCAGCCCCTGAGATCTCTTTCAGCTCTGTGATGGCAGCTGCCAGTGCTGTGCCACTGCCTCAGCTTTAGGGGTTAAAAGGAATCACAAGGCTGTTGGGGGCATCGTATAAATACAACAAGTGTGGAGGGATTTTTCCATTTGAAGAGGCACATTTTGCCATTTTTAAACCGAGAAGTGACCTGATAATGCGTTTCTTTTCACAAGTGCCTACTATATTTCAAAATAAAATATTCTTTCTGACACATTATTTCTCTCTCTCTCTCTCTCTCACACACACACAGTCAGCTTACACATTTATTTCTGGATCAAACTGGACACACTAATAAATATATCCTTGAATATATTAATATATATTCTTTTTTTGTTATTATTACGAAATGAACAGCACCTGTGCCACTGTCCCCCTCCTAGATTGGAATTCTGGGCTGCAGATTCCCTCCCCTTCCCCACAAACTCTTCACACATCAGTGGGACTTTCAAATCCCCAAAATAATTCATGCCCTGCAAGCACAGATACCAAACAATCTGCGGGGGGCGGGGAATGAACCCCACTGCTGGAGCTAAGCACCTTATAATAATAATTTTTATTACCATAGAGCCTAACATGAAACATCCAATTCCTTTTATGACTAAAGGTGTTTACCAGGGTAGTTATAGCAGATATGAACCAAGTGGCAAAACTGCCTCAATTTATATTGCAAAGAGACAGCATTTTCCTTGGGAGAATGGAATTTATGAAGGAAATGGGATAACATGGCCATGCAACAGCTGCAGAGAGGTTGAATACAATATTTTCATTTTTCTCCCATGCTTCCTTCAAGATCTCAGGTTGGTGTACATGACCTTCTCCATCCCTACTTTATTCTCACAACTCTGTGAGGCTGAAAGATGGTGACTGTCCCCAGATCAGCATTGGGGGTGAGTCAGGATTCGAACTCTGCTCCCCCTGGTCCTAGTCTGACACATGAACCCCTATGCCATGCTGGCTTTCCTTCAACGATGTCACCAAGTAGGCTAAACCCAATGAATGACGACGCATGACCAGGTGGATGTGATGCCTCAATACAGCAAATGACCAAGTTTAAACAGTAACGCCTTGGCAGAGAGAGATTGAGCACATATTCATTGCTTGCCCATAGCTCGAACCATGAAGCCCTCTGTGGCCTAGAACTATGAAGACTCCTTCTCCCAAGGACTATCACTCTGGCTTTTAAGGTTGTCTCAAATGTAATAGTTGCCAAAATGTCCGACTGCCACTTAAGACGCTCAGAGTCTTGGCAGCTCCCACAATGCTTTGCTTGGGCAGGAAAGGACAGAATAATGTCCCTGCGTGGCAACAATCTGGACGGCGCTTTCTTTGACATATGGGATGCTGCTAGGGGTTCCCAGCAGGCACATAAGCTCCGGAAAACTTGCCACGCTGTCTGACTGGTGACTTACACCTCTCCCCTCCTCTCCCTGCAGATGAAGGGGCAGGAAATGGAAAGAAGAAACTTGAGCTTACTGGAGTCTGCTGGCTTAAACAAATGTCCAGAGTGAAGAGAGAAATCAATGTTGCTTTTATCCAAAAGCAAGCAGATCAGAGCAGCTGGAAAACAAGGCAGCTCCAAGAGAGGAAAGCGGGGAGATCAGGGTGCAGCCAATGCAAGCTGCTTCATCCTCCTAGCTTTGGGAGAGAAGAAAGGATACCCGTCCCTACACTGATATTTCCCGAGCCAATTTTTTGTAGAGCTAGGACCTCTGGCTGGACCAGAAATGAGACCTGAGTGGACTTCCAAAGATTTCCAGAGACCAGTGGCTGATTGGGAATGTTCAAGGAAAGTTAAATTGTCAAGGCAGTCGACTTTGCCCCCAAGCGAACCCCCAAGTGAAGAAGTCTCAGAGCCAGGGGAATGGTGGTGGGATGACAATGAGTGGTCAGAGGGAGAAGTGGGAGGACGAGGAGGTTTCGGGAACTTAAGATGCAACAGGGTTTAGTGAGCAGGAAGAGGCTATGGCAGAGCGTGGTTCGGACTCAGAGGAAGGAGAGGAGGGGGGCCAGGATACAAAAATGAAGCAGACTGCTGAAGAATCATGGAGTCTCCCCCTCCTGCTGTGACCAGCTCCCCTTCTCCCTGGTCTCCCAGAACGTGCAGAGAAATGGAAGAACAACGGGAGACAGAACAACAGAACACTAGCATTCTAGGGAAGAAACCAGGTGAGGAGCCTTAGACAGCTGTGGGAAGGTGGGGACCTTCAGTCCTCATGACTGCCTCGTTGGGGCAAGACCTACTGGAAAGAATTACTGGGATCACTAGAACTGCATTGTTTTGGTTTCTTTGAATGAAGCATTAACTTCACTGATACCAGCATGGGTGTAGCCAGGATTTATGTTAGGGGCAGCAGCCTTCATATTAGGGGGTCAGAACCTCAGAAAGTTAAGTATTTTTATGGATTTACTTGATGGGGGGCAGCTGCCCCCCTGCCCTCCTGGCTATGCCCATGGACACTGGTGTTTTTTATTGCTGACCTACTCCTGAAATTTTGGGGAAAGATTCCAGAGAGGCTACCATTTCTTTGCCTCCAAACTCCACCTCTGCATACCATTTAATGAGCATTACTCCAAGGTGGATTGCCTTTCCCAATGGGGCACCCTTCGTATATTTGGAACTATAACTCCCATCATCCCTGATCATTGACAATGCCAGCTGGAGCTAATGGGAGTTGTAGTCCAAGCCATCT